AAAAAAAAAAAAAAAAAAAAAGCTCACCCTGGGGGGGGGGGGGCCCCCCGCCGAGGGTAGGGATCCCACATACAGACTGGCCACTCACTGGCTGAGCGAGGTGCGGGAGCAACACCGAGGGTTGCGATCCGTTGCCGGACACGAAAAAAGACAAAAAGGAAAAAATAAATAAATAAATAAATACATAAATAAATACATAAATAAATAAATAGGGGTTAAATCCTTCAGAGGAAGAAGGCTACAGATGAATTCCCCACATCTTAAAAGAGCTTGTCTTTCAGAGCGAATGGAACATTTCTGCAAATATCATATCACCTCCCTGGGTGGTTGCTTTGACAGGCAACATGGCACGTACGTGTTCCTGCACTGTCCTCACAGCTCTGTGACCCTGAGTGAGTCATTCACCCTTTTTGAAACACATTTGACAAATAACATACCCCTTTGAGGGCAAGGAGGTGTTTTGTTTCTTCATTTCTGTGTTTGTTTTTGTGAGAGCTGGGGAAGGAGGCAATGTGTCTGAACCTGCTTAGTTATTTGCCACTTCCATAATCTGAGGAATTAGGGTTTAAAATTTCTGGAACATCTATTAATCAGCAGATGCATAACTTTGTCAACACCTCTGCTGAAGGGGAAGGCAGCTAGTATGCAACTGTGTTTGTAGGTTTTCTCCCACCTGTCTCTCTTCTGCTACTTCCAAAGCCCTCCTGAATTTTTAAAATCAGCATTCTCTCAAAAAATGCCCTGAAAGATTGAAGAAGAGAAATGGCTTGCCAAGGTGAGCTGCAGGAGTTCTGTCCTGGCCACGGCCCCCAGGCAGCATTCCAAGTGAAAGTCCCACCCACATCGCGGCTCCTGGGTGAATGTTTCTCTGACCCCGATCCGAATTCAGAGAGAGAGATTTCTCCTGGAGAGCAGAAGCTCTGGGCTCCCGGACTTTTCCAGGTCTGTGCCCTTTTGCCACTTTGCCCCTGCAGAGTGGCCAGCACAGCATTTCCTGGTATGCAGGGAGAGAGTCTCTAGGGCACTCTGGGCCTGAATCCTCCCGTGTCATTTATGAGTTGGGCCACCTCAATGTGCGGTGGCCGTCTTGGTCTCAGTTTCATTTTACACCCGTTAGATGAGGCTAATCACAGCAGCCACGTCATGGGTTGCTATAAGGATTAAATGTCACACGGCATGTGATGTCCTCAGCCCTAACCCTGGCACGTGGGAAACAGCCAGCAGCGATTGCTACACCCCC